AGAACACAACAAACGAAAAATACAAGAAGAGAAATTACAGATTCAAAGATTTTATATTGGACTGTGTAGAAAAAATGACTGAATCAAACAAACGGTGTGGAGAGGGAGAAAAGTCAAGGAATGAAGTGGATGACGAATCTATTGGGTCAGACTAGAGTGCAGTCACGCCTCCGCCCTCGACTTTGAAAAGACCAGCAGTGAAAGAGCCAGCAAATCATCTAGAGGGTGGCTTGAAAATTCACAAAATGGTCCATGTTCGTAACAGTAACAATAAGAAGAATGGTGCCCTGAGAAAGTGTCACGTGAGTGCTAATCACAAGGTTAGAAAAGAAACAAGTATCATGTGTGCAGGCTGTGGTGTGGCTCTCTGCAAACTTTCATGTTTCAATGTTTATCACACGAAGAAAAACAAATAAAGAGGTGTGGAAAAGCATTTATTGCATAAAATATTGTATTTTAATTAGTTCCTAAAAATTTCGTTTTTAAAAACCAATTTTTGTTGAAGTTGTTTAGGAAAAAGTAACTACATGCATTTTAGCGACATAAGGTTTAAAGGGCCTGCCAGGACAGGGGTGAGATTTAAATACCCTTCGTGCCAGTCAAAGAGTTATCATCCACCTCAGTGTCTAAGTTTTCCAAAGCTGCAAACCCATTTGTGATTTCAACATGATACAGCTCCTTACCCTCTATCACATTTACTTTCTTGAGATTGAACCTCTCCATATGACTCCTGTGTGTTGTTTGTTTGCTCAATGCCAGTCTTTCCCTAACCTTTGCCACTACCTGGTTGTGGTTAGTATCACAGTCTACTATTTGTGAATGATTGGACTTCAGGTATACTTGAATGCTGTCTCCCGTCTATCAAAATATGGTCAGTTTGTTTGTGCGCCATCCCCTCAGGGATGTCCAAGTGAATTTATGAATGTTACGATGTGGGAACTACATACTTTTGGCAGTAAGATTTTTCGATGTGGCAAAGTTTACTACTCTAACTCCATTATTATTTTATGTAAACTCTCATTCCAATTAATGGTTTGATAATGTCTTCCCTACCTACTTTGGCATTGAAGTCTCCTAACAAAATTTTCATATGGTACTTCAGGAATTTATCAAATACATATTCTAGTTCTGCACAGTACCTGTCCTTTATATCATCAATTTTATCTTCTGTTGGGAGATGAACATTCAAAATGATGCTATCACACCAGCAACCTCTTAGTATTTCATATGACATCCTATCACTAACAAAGTCTACCCTCTTAACTGCTGATATGATTCTCTTATGTACAAAAAAATCTGTACCTACTTATTGATTCTTATTCCCCTTTCCATAGCAAAATGTATATTTGCCTGCTGGTTCAGTGCCACCTCAATCCCATCTG